CTCCGCCCCCTTTAGGCACTGGAGCTGCTCTAAGGTCTCCCCAGAGCAGAGCAGAGGGGCAGGATCCCCTCCCTGAGCTGCTGCTCCCACTCTGGGGGTGCACCCAGCACACGGGGGGCTTCTGGGCTGTGAGTACACGCTGCCAGGTCATGTCCCATTTTTCATCCTCAAGTCCTTCTCTGCGGGGCTGCTCCCACCCAGAACTCAGCATCACAGAACACCCCAGGACTGTATTTATGTACATTTATACGTATCAGCGCCAGGACACCTTAAGGAGGATGCTAACGTCTGATGTTCAGCTCTCCAGGCCTCTCTTCCACACCTCTCTAGGGAGGATGAGGAAAGAACCTGGTATCTTTGGTTCCAATTCCAGAGAATTTAGCTCCCATGCCATGGTTTTCCCTCCTCCAGCCTGGCACTGACACTGCCTCTGGGCCTAACTGCTGCTGAAGCAATGCCACTGCTTCATCAGCTCCAGGGTTCCCTCCAGAAGTGGTCTGAATCCCAGGAATCCTCCTTTCACAAGGCTTCCTTCTGAGCAGGAGATCCTCATGCACATGCAGCAGCAGCTGTGACAGCCTTAGAACCCAGGGAAAGGATTAACTTTGGGATGAAGACCTTGGGATGTGGCTGGCAGGAGAAACCCTCCAGGTAACCCTTCCCCTCAGTGACAGGTACCATCTAGGAGGGCAGCAGAGAAGGTGTGAAGGCAGATGGATGACTTCCAGGATTCCCACATATTATACTCACCTTCGGAGGGGATTAACAATCTCATCCCTCAGAATGCTCTGGACATTCCTATCACACAGCAGGAAGGGCTTGAAGAGCATGGAGTCCACCACAGACGTACAGGAGAAGAGGCTGTGAAGAGAGAAGTGATGGGTGTAGTATTGCAGCAATAGTTAGAACCAAACTTGTGTCTGGTGACAGCTGGTGGCTTTGATTCTCAACAGTCCATGCATGCAGTTACAGAAGGGTGAGTGACAGCACATCTCCACGGTGAGAGACACCACCTCTGGTTTAATGACCCCTGGTAGGAAGCAAGGGAACAGCTCAGACACGATGAGATCTCGGACTTCGCAGCTCAAACCGCTCAGGAGGGGGCACCACTGAGGCTTTTTTCCTCTCCAAACAGGGAAGCCGGGACCTCCTGCGTGGTTTCTGTGGCTTGTTTCCAGCCAGGGCCTCCAGTGCCAGTCAGCACGGTGCCAGGAGCTCTCACCAGCCTGCATGACAGACACAGGGCACCTCAGGTGCTGTCCCAGCCCCAGTGTGGCAGCAGGGCTAGAGCAGGGACTGTCCCCTGTGCTGGGCACTGTGAGGCTGCACCTCGGATCCTGTGTCAGTTCTGGGCCCCTCACTCCAAGAGAGACATTGAGGTGCTGGAGCAGGGCCAGAGAAGGGCACCGGAGCTGGAGCAGGGCCTGGAGCACAAGTGTGATGGGGAAGGGCTGAGGGACCTGGGGGGTTTAGTGTGGAGAAGAGAAGGCTCAGGGGGGACCTGATCGCTCTCTGCAACTGCCTGACAGGAGGATGGAGCCAGGAGGGGGCTGGTCTCTGCTCCCAAGGAACAAGGGATGGGACAAGAGGAAATGGCCTCAAGCTGCCCCAGGGCAGGTTTAGGTGGAGCTGAGGAACAATTCCTTGCCCAGAGGGTGCTCAGGCATTGGAACAGGCTGCCCAGGGCAGGGCTGGGGGCAACATCCCTGCAAGTGTTCACAGCCCCTGTAGCCGAGGCCTCAGTGCCAGGGGTTAGTGGTGGCCTTGGCAGGGCTGCGAATGGTTGGACTGGACGAGCTGAAAGGTTTTTTCCAGCCTGGATGGTTCCATGTGTGATTCTGTGTGTACTCACGAGGGCCTGAGAACAAACCACCTCGGAATTCCAGGGAAATGCTGCAGTTTAGGGCTCTACCCAATTCAAAAAGCACTCGTTTAGTGATCTGGCACCACCCAAGCAAGTCCTTACCTGAAGAGAGTTGCATCCATATAGCAGGAATTACAATGGCCTTGGATCCCCTTCATCCGCCCTTGCAGGACATGCACCGCTGCCTCATTCCTGAGGGGAGGAAAACTGTCTGGAGCCTGGGGAAGAACTTCGTGTCCTCCTGCAAAGAGAAGCAACATCCTTGGGCTTCCCACCTTGTCTGGGTCAGCTCTGCCCTTCCTCGATGCCATTCCCTGCTCAGAAGTCAGCACCAGGCTCCTCTGTGCTGCTCCTGCTGGGACTCAACCACAACTGGGATGAAGAATTGTCTCCTTCATAATTCCTTTACTGGAAACAAAGCCAAAGCCAAACCATCCCTTCTTCACCAGAGACACGTCCTCCAATCCATACCCACCTCTGCCAGGTATAACAAAGAGCTCAAAGAGCTGGTGCTGTGTTATGTGGAAGGTTGGGATCTACCTGTCCTGGTACCCCAGGAACAAGGGGACAAACAGGCAGCTGTGCATTAATAGCCTCATCCTGCTGGTCCGTCATCTCAGGCTTCAAAGGTGGCCTTTGCAATCTGCTCTTTCCTGGTTTCTTCAGCATTGTCCCCTTGTAATTCAATCCCCTCTCCTCAGCGTGTCCTTAAGACAGTTTTCCAAGTCCCTACTTCCAGTTTGGGGCAGTTCCTACAGGAATCCTGTCATCTCATCTCCAGTCATCTCATTTACTGTTTCTAAACTGTTAGTTCATGTTGGCTTCTGTGCTCTGGAGGAATCTCTGCCTGTTGAAATGAAAACACTGACCTGTTCTTCTTGTGAAGGACTTACCACCACCACAAACTCTGCACTAAAGCTGATTTAATCCTTTCTCCCATTCCAAAGGCATTCCCTATAAATACCATCAGCATCCTTAAAACTGGCATCTTTCGGAACACTTGAAGTGAAGAATATCAAACCACTGATGAAGACACTGTGCATGAGGCTGCTCTATAGTGTGCCTTGTCCCAGCACAGCCCTGTCTCCCCTCTCCCTAGAGTAGGCCCTTGTGAACCTCATGAGGTTCAACAAGGCCAAGTCCAAGGTCCCACATGAGGGTTGGGGCAATTCCAATCACAAACATAGGCTGGGTGGAGACTGGATGGAGCAGCCTGAGGGGAAGGACTTGAGAACCTCAACATGATCCAGCTTCAGTGTGTGCTTGAGCCCAGAACCCCCCCGTGTGCTGGGTGCACCCCCAGAAAGTGAGCAGCAGCTCAGGGAGGGGATCCTGCCCCTCTGCTGTGCTCTGGGGAGACCTTAGAGCAGCTCCAGTGCCTAAAGGGGCTGCAGGAAACCTGGAGAGGGGCTTGGGACAAGGGATGGAGGGACAGGACAAGGGAAATGACTTTAACCTGCCAGAGGGGAGATTGAGATGAGCTCTGGGGCAGAAGCTGTTCCCTGTGAGGGTGCTGAGGCGCTGGCACAGGGTGCCCAGAGAAGCTGTGGCTGCCCCATCCCCGGCAGTGTTCAAGGCCAGGGTGGACACAGGGGCTTTGAGGAACCCGCTCTAGTGGGAGGGGTGAGCTGGAGGAGCTTTAAGGTCCTTTCCAACCCAACCCATTCCATGCTTGTCTCTTACCATAATCCACAAGGCTCAAGTGACTGCTGTGGGAGCTCTGGAAGCGAACATCGGGTTGGCAGCACTGCAGCTTCACGAAGAGGCCGCGCTTTGGAGCACAGTGGAAGTAGTATTTGCCCAACCACTCGCCAGCAGTGACCCCCTTATCTTCATCCTCGAAGAGAGCAGTGAGGAGTAACATCAGAGCACAGATCCCCCATGTGGCCATCTAATATTTTCAGAGCTGTGTAGTTTGGTCCCATTTTGTTGACTGTTTTCATCCCTGTTTCCATCCCTGGTGGTGTTCAAGGCCTTGGGTGATATGGTCTAGTGTGAGATATTCCTTCCCACAGCAGAGGGTTGGAACTGGATGATCCTAAGGTCCTTTCCAACCCAAACCACCCTGGGATTCAGTCATTCTGGTCATGTTCTGAACCTGTTGATGCTGTCTGTAGGACTCATGATTATCCCATCCCACATTCCAACCACACTACTCTGGAAGAGAGCGAACCAACCCTCATAATCACTGCACAAGGTCCTCTCCCCACCCTAAGGGAAGGCCCAACCGGGTGCTTGCCCTCACAGTTCACTCTCTCATGCATCGGAGGCCCAAATTAGGCTGTGAAACACACAAGCCAAAGGTCTTAAAAGAGAAGAGCAACCAAGAGCAGCCCACTCTGATACCCCATTTCCCAGCAGGAAATGTTTGCTCCTCACCAGTTCAACTCCTGCCATCTTGTGCTTGATCTGGGGCAAGTAGCCCAACCAGCGGATGATTCCTGAGACCCGAGTTCCTTTGTCCAAGGTGATCTGGACCATGGAGTTCACTTCCAAGGCTGAGTTCCCACCGTCACACTCCTCACTGCTCTCACTGAGCTCTTGTTTCATCTGGTTTGGGGGTCCCAAGCCCATGTTGGACTCAAAGGGTGAAAATAAACCTAATGGGTAACACAGAATGTCAAGCGAGGTAGGAATGAAAGACACCTGATGACAAACACTTCTGGATCTCCTCTAATCCCAGGTCTGCTTTGAAACTCCAGGTCACAGAGACAAGCACGAAGCCAAGCATCAGACACACAAGGTGTAATTCCCAGTGATATGGCCAAGCTGGTCTAACAGGCTGAAAGGGGATGAGCCTGCTCCTTGCTTCCCTGCTCAAGGCTGCACACTCCAGGCTCTCCCTGCTCCTGGAGCTAATCCAGCCTTTTTGAACTACTGGAACAGCAGAAAGGGTTATTCCCAAGTTATTTTTCTGCCTTCAGTGAGATGAATCAACTCAGTGAAGAGTCTAATGATGGCTCCAGAGAGATTCCACTGATCTTGTATTCCTCAGTGACTCAGACCATCACTGTGCCTTTCTGAGTCTGTCTGGCATCAGGATGAGGCTCCTGCTCCAGATTCTCCAGGTAAATTAAAGACTCCTTAACTACTGGTGCCTTTTCCTTTAGGAAATACTTCTGCCTTTCAATTAGTCCCTCTCTTCTTCCTGTCAAGCTCAGCTTTAGTTGCCTACTACAAAGAATTTTGTCCAGAGAGACTTCTCCATGGAGCTTCTCTGCCTCCTGATCAACTATGCTGGGATCAGCTGAAGCTTTTGTTGCATTTTGAGCTCATCAGAGAGAAGAAATAAATGCCAAACCCCCAGGAACACAGGGAAGACACTGATCTGACGATAACTTACTTTGCAAGTTCTCCTTCACAACAGAATCCAGAGGGATTTCTCTGAAAATGTCAGTTGTTCCTTCTTCTTCCTGAAAAGAGAAGAATTTATCAGCTAAATGCTTTAGCAGCAATTCCTGGAATATGAACCAGCTTCTCAAACAGGCCTGGAAAGCTTGTATGGAACCTCATGGCTTTTTTAGGATGGGTGGAGAAGTGATTCAGAGCAGCCCGAGGAGAAGGACTTGGGGGTGTTGGGTGAGGAGAAGCTCCCCATGACCCAGCTTCAGTGTGTGCTTGAGCCCAGAACCCCCCGTGTCCTGGGTGCACCCCCAGAGCGTGAGCAGCAGCTCAGGGAGGGGATCCTGCCCCTCCCCTCTGCTCTGGGGCGACCCCCCCTGCAGAACTGGAGCAGGT